AATCCTAAGATAGTGGAGAAGCAAGAGCAGCACAGGCATGTGGAAATCTGTTGCTTTGGAACCCAAACTTACTTTCCATTCCCTCCTCTTCTGAAGACTTGTTAAGTTCATCTCCATCAAAACCAACAGCTGAAGGGGAAAAAAACACTCACTACAAAGGTCACAGAAATCTGCGCAAACAGACGCCCTTCACAGGAATGTATTAGACCACGGAGGTGGACAAACCCTCTTAAGCAGGTTCTTTATCTCAGACTTTGTTCATTTGTTGCTGCTGTAATAGAAAACCACAAACTGAATGACTTATAAACAACAGAAGTTTCTTGGCTCATGGTTTTGGAGGCTCAGAAGTCCAAAACTGAGGGACCTCATCTGGTGAGAGCCTCGGTACTGTATCCTAACATGGCAGAATGACCAGTGTGGGGCGAGGCAGAGTGAACAAGGGAACCAAACCCTGGACAATCAACCCTATCCATAGGTCTCACTCTGTAGGCCAGGATGGCTTTGAACTCACTATTATAACCCAGGTTGGCCTCAAACTCTCCGTCTTGCTACCTCCTTCTCCCAAGTGCTGAATTTACAGACATCTGTCCCAATATCTGACTCTGTCCCACTTCTTAATACTGTTACAATGGCAATTAAGTTTTTGGTGGGAACAGTTAGACCAGAACTGGAACAATTAGTGATAGTAACTGAAGAATGAATCTGAGCAACTGTTGGAATTACATAGATCCATTTAATCTGACTCTCCAGATGCAACATCCAAATTGTCTTTTAAACAGGATCCTGTTACGATAAATCTTTCTGCCAAAAGCCGCCTGAGCCCCACCGCCACGTGTGAGCTTTATGCCAGCCGCCCACCTGAGTTAGGGCCCAAATGAATACACAGAAACTTGTATTAGGTTCAAAGCTGCTTGACCAATGACTAGGATTCTCATCTGTTAGCTCAGTCTTAACTATCATAAACCTATATATTTTATAAGACTTATCTTATCGGATGCCTTATTGGCATCCCTCCTTGCCAGTGGATCACATTGTGCCGCTGGAGCAGGAGCAGAGGGGAAAAGGGGACGCTTCTGGTTTCTCCTTCTTTAAATCTGAGTCTCCTTGCTATGTCACTTCCTGCCTGGATCACCACTTCTCTACTACATTTCCCAGAATCCTCTTTGACTCCTAGTCCTGCCTAACTTGCCATCTCATTGGCCAACCAGAACTTTATTAAACAATCAATAAGATAAACATACACAGAAGTACTTCCCCCATGAGGATCCTAGGATAAAAATAAGGATCCTGTAGACATGACCTTAGGGGACCCTAAAGAATAGGCAGCCAACCGCCTTTAACCCTATTGGTAGATTTGACAGGGCTGGCTTATGCAAATACTGGTGCACACAAGTGAACTTCACCTTTCCCTAGCAACCTCAGCTGCTTCTTGCTTTTCACATCTCTCCTTCCCCCCAACCAGGATGCAAGGGGTTAACTGAGCACCCTAGACCTGGCATCTCCCGTTGGCACTTCCTCCACAGTCCTCTTGGGGTAGTAGCCCTGGCTGGTTGGCTTCTTTCCTGCCTGTGGTTGTTGATGCTGACTCAGAGAGCCTGGGCACAGTCTGCAGTACTGATGGAGCGGGCTTCACATATGATCACATTTCCCACTGGCATTAAATATTCCTGGAAAACAGGATGTTCAACAGTGCAAACACAGCCAAGGCCATCTGTGAGCTTGGTGCTCATCTTGAACAAGCCAGACCTTGTTGTCTTGTCCATGGAGTGGAGAAAGTGCATCTGTGCCTGGCCATTGCTGGCACTGGGCTACTCACTGCTTCCCCAGCAAAGACGCTGGTTTGAATGTCCATTTAAACCTCAAAACATGATAAATACAAGTAATTATAAATGAGTAAACCCTAGAGCAGAAGTCCTATATCACTGCAGCCACCTCACCAAAGGGGAAATATACTTTCCCACATAAACACTGAAAGATACTACTAGACTTGTAGATCTAAATGACAATATTGAAGGGCCTTTGGATCATTTTTTTTTCTGAGACAGAGTTTTTCTGTGTAGCCCTGGCCGTCCTGGAACTTGCTCAATAAACCAGGCTGGCCTTGAACTCACAGAGAGCCTCCTGCCAGAGTTCTGGGATTAAAGGCATGCACCACCACTGCCCAGCTCCATAAATATTCTTAAATAAATTATGTCCATCACACAAAAGACTTGCCATAGTTTAAAACTACTAGACACCTAGTAGGCAGCACTTAATGTCGGCACTCAGAACTGGTTAAAGTGGAAAGAATTAGTGAGGATGGAGTACTTGGCCCTAAATGTGACAATATATCACCCAGGCCAAGGCTCAGTTGTACTCATTAATTCACAGCAGCTGCAGTTACCTGCACAAGTCCTATACAAGATTGGTCCTGTCAACATTTCATCATGAGTAGGAGAGGGACCCACGAGGTCCCACCCCCTCCTTGAGGGGCTACAGGTAGGTGACAGTTGATAGGGGAGGGGAATGTCTTCAGTGGTGTAGCCACCAGTAAGTTGTCCTCATTCCAGCAAATAATCCCCACCGTGTTCAAACAAGCAACTTTAATTAAACTCAGTGAGTTGTTGTGGAAAGTCACTTTAACTATGTAAAGATACATTATATTTGTTTATGCTGCATTTGTTTAATGATGTAAAGATGTGTTATATTTGTTTATGCTACATTTTTAAAATGATGTACGGATGTGTTGCTTGGGTTTGCCTGCCTAAGTCACCTGATTGGTCTAATAAAAAGCTGAGCAGCCAATAGCTAGGCAGTAGAGGAATAGGTGGTGCTGGTGGAAAGAGAGAATAAGTAAGAGGAGGAATCTAGGCTTGGGAGAGAAGAGAAAGAGAGGGAGACCTGTGGGGCTGGCCAGCCAGCTGCCAACAAGATATGAGAAGCAGGAAAGTAGGACATACAGAATGAAAGAAAAATAAAAAGTCCCAAGGTAAAATGTAGAGAAAGGTTAAATTAAGTTATAAGAGTTAGCAAGAAATGAGCCTAGGGTAAGGCAGAGCATTTGTAACTTTGTAAGTCTCTCTGTCTTTATTCGGGAGCTGGTTGGTGGCACCCCCCCCCAAAAAAAAGCCTGTTACAGTGAGTCTCACATAGAAACAAGACATGAAGTAGGAGGGGGCCTTGGAAAAAGGGTTCCAGTTAGAGGGGAAAGGGTTAAGTGAGGGGGATGAGGGTGAAAGCAACTAAAATTCATCACATACATATGTGACCTGTAAAAGAATTTTTAAAACCTTCTAACCATATAAAATGTTTTAAAGCAGGCATCTTTCTTCTGTATGCTGTGATGTTTAAATTAATATCCCAAGTTGCTCACCTCCTAGGACTGTGAGCTGGTGAGGGTAAAAGTCAACATCTAAATCCACAGGGCAGTGTCAGGTAGGAACCTCCATACATTCCTTCTTCAAGTTGAAAATGGGTAAAAATGCCCCACTCTGCCTGTGTATGCAACACTCAGCCAGTCAGGGTCAGGCAAAGACTAGTCTTGTTTGTAGAACGCATATTCAATCCCAGGAAACTGCACCAGTCAGTTTTCAGGAAAAACTTCAATGGCCCATTCATTTGTTTTGGTGCTGGAGATTGAACCCAGGACTCCTGACTTGTTAAACCCCCAACCCACCACTGAGTACCACACTTCCAGCCGCAATGCCGGTGCTTTTGGCTTCAAACAAGATGGAAGCCACCTCACAGGAAAATTTAGAGCTCCGATTGAAGTCCAGAGCAGCAAGTATTCCGAACTGAAGGTCCCTGAGTCCCCTGCCCTTACATGGGTGTCTCCTGGTCATCAACACTGAAGCCTTCATGAGAAGACAAAAACAAGATTACATGTAGGCCTTCTGGCCTACACCTGCCACTAGGGCTCCAGCTGATAGCTGTTGGGTGAGACCACCAACAGAGTCTGACCTCAGTCCAGAGAGTGGAGTCTACATTCAGCTGGCCAGAGTAGACCAGAGAGATTCCTGGTGGACTCAGGGAGACAGAAGGGCGCTCGAGGAAGGAAGAGGAGAAACCAAGGAGTTGTGTGCCCTTTCAGTCTGAAAAGTAGAGAGGGACAGGATCATGTGGAGGTCACTCTGTGGATCTCTCAGGTTTATTCCCTAATATTTAACCCCGTTTTAGTTTTTAATAAAATTATAAAAGGAATCTCCATAGGTAGCACCAACTGTCTCAAACACAAGTGAACCTTCGGAAGATTCTAGACCTCAGCATTTGCACCATAACCACCCGAGGCTCCAGTCACTGTCAGGAGAGATTGTCCAAGGAGGCCAGTGCAGCGGTAACACATCACACCGTACCAAGGACAACAAGTTCATTAATGAGTGTTGTCAATTCTAAGAAACTCTGATTGTTCTTACATAAACCCTGAAGAATACTTGCATTCCCCTAAAAACTAAGAACTTACACATGGAAGATACTTGTTGAAAATAAGGACTAAATGACCTAAAGTTTACAAAGTTCATAGCTCCTTAAAAAGGCTCTTGACAGAATTTGGTTGATCTACAGGCCATACAGGAGGCTCCTGGCATCACCCCTGTGCAAAGCTTTTGGACCAGGGTCTTAAGTCCTGCTTGAAAAGTCAAGCCTGCCCCGCAGGTTCCAGAAATGACAGGCAAGAATGGGCTACAGAGGTATTGTTTGGAAGGTGAAAGAGGAAGGGGCAGAACAGGTGGCTAATGGGTAATATTAGAAGTTTTTAATGTCTCATAGCACTGTAGGGTGACTGATAGTCACATACTAAAGTAACTAGTAGATGGACTTTTAATGTTCCTAACACAAAAAACCATAGGTAAGTGTTTGGAGTTATGGACATGCCAGAGTCCTCGTTTTTTATACATTACATGTGTGCATTGAAATTCTACTGTGTATGTCATACATAGTATGTCATAGTTAACTTCAGTTGTCAACCTGACAAACCTGCAATCCCATGTGAACAGACTCCTTTGAAGAATTTCCCAGAGCAGATGTCACTGACATGACATACTTTATTCTGTGGGCATGCACCCTTGAGTCTGAGGACATTTTTATAGAGAATCACAGGAAAGTTGCTTTTTGTCAGAGCTGATCGCATAATGAATTACACAACAGTGTCATTTAGCACTTACTGTGGTTCCCGGATATCTGGTAGTGGCCATCTTAATTAAGTTATTCCAGGCAGCCTCACTGGTACCATGTTGTCTAAACCTTATATTCATTCCCTTCCAATACTGTATCCCGTAAACTTGCATAATTACTAGGAGCCAATCAAAAGCTCCATGCATATAGGAGGTATATATTCATAGTTCGTTTTCAAGAGACCAGTGGTCGTATTCCAGGTGCGTCCTTGTAAGAAAGAAAATTGAAACAAAAGCCCTGACCCTTCTTCCCAGTGTCTCTATCCCTGTCAATCGGCACAACGGCAAGAAAGAGGACTGTTGTATACAGCATGGTGATGCTTGTGTCTCCAGATTTCCCAGTCAAACAAGACAGGGTTCTGCCCTGGGCAGGTCAGTAAATTGACTGAAAGAAATTGTAGTGTTGATCCCAAGGACAGCTTCCTTGGACAAAGCTTCCTCCCATTGTGGGCTTGAGAACAGAAAGAAAATCCCACATGAGCTCCAATGAGAAGGTGGTGGATGCAGCAGGCCCACCCTTCTCTCCCTGCATGAACTCTGATGAGAGGGTAGTGGATGCAGCTGGTCCACCACCACCACCACCCACCTCCCTGGTGCATGAGTAAACAGTTTCACCTTGTGTCCTCTCCTGGGAGAATAACCTGACCTAGTGGGGCAATGTTTTCCTCCGTGGGCACAGCTGGCCTCATGATAGCGTTCACAGAAGGACAGGCTTTCAGACACTCGAGCCTGGTTCTTCTCCTCCTGACCCTTTGGTGCTTTTCCACTGTGGTGAAGAGATGACCATGGAGGAAGCAGAGAAGAGAAAAAGAGGACATATCACTGAATACCAGGAGAGAAGACAGTGGAGCGCCCTGAGGAATGCACCCCCAGACACACCATGGTTTCCATGACAGCAGCAGCCACAGGATGAACGGGTACCAGGATTCTTTGTGGATTGTCCCATCTCTTCGTTCCTCTTCTGAACATCATGCTTTGTGTCCAAATCAAAGATGCAAGCAGACAGCTATGCAGGTGCCTGACAGCACCCTTAGCTGACTGTATTCTGCAGCCAAACAGAAAAGTAAACACCATGACTAGGCGCTATGTAAAGAACTGACCCTGTCCCTCCCTCCATTTCCCTGGAACACTGTAGGTCCCATGGAACACAGTGGCTTCTGTTTAGATATCTCTTCTCATCTACCATTAGCTCAGATCTGTCCTTTTGAGCCTGGCAGACTTCCCTGGATGGAAGGGTGGACCTGCCACAGGTGTCCAATAAATGCTACTCACACATTAAGAGGAAATGTAAGAAGCGGCTTATATGGTTTTTAAGGTCCTTAATGCCCTCTCCAAGCCTCAGCCTCTTGGATCTCAGGAGTTGTCCATAGTTCCTGTCAACACAACAAACATGGCATCAATACAGGTCAGCTGGGTAAGATGTCATCCCATGCTCCATCCATAGGCTTTGGAGGAGCAGTCACCCGGTGAGCAGGAATGAAGAGACTGTAAGAATCTCTCATTGACCTCAAGAGCAGCATCTGGACCAGGCAGGGCTTTACCCTGACAAAGCCCCACCCACCAACAAAAATGCAATGCTGTAAACATCACAGATCCACAAGCCACACTGTTGGTTATCTACAATGGCTTCCCCCACAGAGATCAGGCTCTGCAGCAGTCCCATTAGAGGATCAACTCTCAGGCCCAATGTGCTCATGAAAACAAGCACCACTGCCTATTGTCTTCCTCCTACACTATCCCATGTGCCTTCTCCAATTGCTCACAGGAAGGAGAAGACAACCCCTAACACAGACTAACTGACATTCCTTGGTGTAAGTCCTGGTAAGAAAACTGTAGGGCTGGGACCCAGCTGTTTGATTGCTTGCCCAGCATGCATGAGGCTGTGGGCTTGGTTCCTAGCACTGCAGAAGCCAAATACTGTTATGAATAACTGTGATTCTGGAAATAAGCAAATGGAAGCAAGAGGATCAGAAATTTAAGGTCATCCGTGGCTACATAGGGAGTTCAAGGCCCACCGACTTTTATTTTGAAAACTACAGAGGGTCAAGCATAGTGTCAGATACCAATAATCCCAAGACTTGAGAGTCAAGACTGGAAGAACAGGAGTTTAAAGCCAGAACTTCCTAGCAACACCCTGTCTCAAAAACAAATGGACTAAGCTAGGTCTAAAGGCACAGTCTCATAATCCCAGACACTTGGGAGGTTGAGGCAGGAGGAGCTCAAGCCTACCAGCCAGTCTGGGCTACAGTACAAGTTCCAAACCAGCCTGGGAAGTTTAATAAGAGTGTCATCTCAAAATAAATTTTTTTTTCTCAACAAGTGTCACAAATGGCCAAGATATACTTAAAGAATTAATTGTTTAACATCCTTAGCCATTAGGGAAATGCAAATCATAACAACTCAGATTCCATCTTATACCAGTTATTATGACTAAGATCAATAACACTAGTAACAGCCTATGTTGGAGAGGATCTGGAGTAAAGGGAACACTCCTCCACTGCAGTGGAGTGTTGTACAGCCATTTTAGAAATCAATATGGTGGTTTCTCAGAAAATTGGGAATCAGCCTCATGACCCAGCTATACTACTCTTGGGCATGTATCCAAAGGAAACTCAATCATACCCAAAGGATACTTGCTCAACAATGTTCATAGCAGTGTTATTCATAATAGCAAGAACCTGGAGACAACCTAAACTCCCCTCAACTGAAGAATAGATAAAGAAAATGTGGTGTAACACTCAGCTGTTAAAAACAATGATGTCAGGAAATTTGAAGGCAAATGAATGAAACTAGAAAAAAAAATCATCCTGAGTGAGGTAACTCAGACCCAGAAAGACAAATCTGGCATGTACTCACTCATAAATGGATATTAGCTGTATAGTATAACCATGCTACACACAATCCACAGCCACAGAGAGGTTTGGTAACAAGGAGGGCCCAATGAGGGACTCGTGGATTTCCCTGGGAAGGGGAAATAGAAAAGATCCCCTGTGTAGGCTGAGCGTGGGTGGGGATGGAAATGTAAAGGATCTGTTTTGGGGGCAGGTAGAGAGAAGAGTAATGAAAGAGATGACTTGATGGTGGTGCATTTTGGGGTCAGGTAGAGACCTGATGCAAGGGAAAGTCCCACAAATCTACAAGGATGACCCTAGCTAAGACTCCTAGCAATAGTGAATAGGTAGCCTGAACTGGTCCTCTCCTGTAATCAGATTGGTGACTATCCTAATTGGCATCAGAGAGCCTTTGTCCAGTAACTGATGGAAACAAATGCAGAGATTCACAACCAAGCACATGGCCAAGCACAGGGAATCCTGTTGAAGAGAGGGAGGAAGGATTGTTCAAGCCAGGGGGTCAAGGTCATCACAAGGAAACCCACAGAAGCAACTGGCCTGCTCATGGGGACTCACAGACCATCGACTAACAACTAGGGAGCCTGAATGGGACCCCTCTAGGACCTCTACATGTGTGTGTGTAAGTTGTATGGCTTGGTCTACTTATGGGACTCCTGGCAGTGGGATTGGGGCCTGTCTCTAAGGCTTTGGCTGGCTTCCAGGAACCTATTCCTTATGCTGGGTTGCCTTGCCCAACCTTAATACAAGGAGAGGCACTGAGTCCTACCTCAACTTAATTTGCCATGCTTTGTTCCTGCCCCCTTTCTGAGCAGAGTGGAGGAGGAGTGTATTGAGGAGGGGAACAGAGGGGGGAAAGGACCAGAGGAGGGGGAGGAGAAGCTGTGGTTGGGATGTAAAATAAATGAAAAAATTAAATAAAACTAATATTTAAAATATTTGTTTTAAAAGGTTGTAGGGCCAGCAAGACAGCTCAGCAGATAAAGGAATTTGCCACCATTCTTGATAACCTAAGTTTGACCCCTGGGTCCCACATGGTAGGAGGAGAGAACCAACTCCCAAAAGTTGTTTTCCGTCTTCCATAGACATGCATGGCACACTTGAGCATGCAAACACACACAGATAAATAATAAAGTGAAAATGTTAGGTACAGTTCACAGATAGACCACTTACTGAATTATCATGTATAAACAGTCCTGGGCTCACTGTCTAGTACTAAAGAATAAGTAATGTCTGAGCTTGCTCCCTCCCGGTGTTAGAATGTAGCAGCGCCTGGAACAAAGTGTGCCTGTTGCTCTGCCCTTCTCCTGGCTCAGGGAACTCTGCAGAGCCCTACTGCCCCTCTCCCTGGGAGCATGCTCCATGACATTCATCTCTAATAACACCAGAATCAGAGTCATCCAGCCCCAGACTCCTCCCTGATGGCAGCAAGTGAGGCACCAAGGATTGGAATTTCCTGCCACAGGGAAAGAGTAACCTGGTGGCAGGGCACAGAGAAAGCTAAGTCACTGTTTATATCAGTTCATAATGTATTACTTTGTACCAGGCTTCTTTTAGGCCATCAACCAATTCCCAAATCATGACACAGCAATTTTGAATGCTAGGCCTAGCTTAGGCATGTTTCTGGCTAGCTCTTTTATCTTAATTAACCTGTTTCTCTTTATCTGCCTTTTGCCTCAGGGCTTATTACCTTTCTTCTATATATCTTACTTTCACTACTTTTGGTGTCTAGCTGGCTGGCAGCGGCTGCTTGGCTTCTTGACTTGGGTGGGTCCCTCATTCCTACTCTCCTTCTTCCGATCTCTTCTTTTTCCCAAGCCTAGAATTCTCCTCCTACTTATTCTCTCTGCCCTGCCTATCCTTTCTCCTGCCTAGCTATTGGCCATTCAGCTCGTTATTAGGCCAATCAGGCGCCTTAAGAAGACAAGGTGAAACAGATGCAATGTATCTCTACATAATTAAACACACATCCTTACATTGCTAAACAAAAGCAGCATAAACAAAAGCAACACACCTTTACACAGTCAAAGTAATATTCTAGAGCATAAATAAATACAACACATCTTTGCCTAGTCAAAATAATATCCCACAAATTACTTCTCTTTTGTTTGGGGGGGGGTTTGGGAAGGGGTTTCGAGACAGGGTTTCTCTGTGTAGCTTTGGAGCCTATCCTGGCACTCGCTCTGCAGACCAGGCTGGCCTCGAACTCACAGAGATCCGCCTGCCTCTGCCTCTCCAGTGCTGGGATTAAAGGTGTGTGTCACTACATCTAGCTTTAGTTACTTTTATTGCTGTGACCTAATACTTGCCAAGAAACAACTTAAACGAGGAATGATTTATTTTGGCACACAGTGTAAGAATCAATATCGACCATCATGGCAGGGAAAGCATGGCAGTGGGAGAGTAAGGCATCTAGTCACACCATGCTTGAAGGAAGCAGAGAGCACACCGGAAGTGGGGCCTGGCTATAAAAAATTAAGACATTCCTATGGTAACCCACTTGCTCCAGCAAGGCTCTTCCTCCTAAAGGTTTTGTAATCTTTTAGAACAGCTCCACCAGCTGGGGACAAGTGTTCAAACATGCCATCCTTAAACAAGAACACTATCATGTGGTATTCTAGCCCATATTTGGTCCAAGCTACAGACTAAAGCCCCAGACCTCAGAAGCTCAGCATCTGCACTCACATGACAAGTAAACTGAGGCAGACACAGTGAGAATGGTGGCCAAAAAAGTCACAGTTTTGCTTCTGCTCTGTTTTACTAACAAATGGCAACCACTGGGAGACCCGAAGTGAAGAGCCCACACTGGTGCCTCCCTTTCTTTGCTCTATGTGTGGAGCAGAGAGGACCCAGCTGCCATTTCAAGGAAACTTTAAAAGATCTCACTTCAGACCTGAGTACCAAGGGAAGCAGTAGGCACCTGAGGCTCAGGGGACCATAGTTGTAGTCAGTCTGTCAGTGTTGGTGACAGGAGTGTGTACATTTAGTAAAAACAGCTGTCCAGTGTCTGAGTGCCCAAGCTGGTGGAAAAAAAAACCAACATGGAGTTTGGACAGAGAGAATTTGAGGTGAGAGACATTGACTCCTGTAGGAAGCAAAACCATACTCACTTCTGAGGCAGGGATTTTCTTCCAGAGAGCTGAATGGCTCCTGAGGACTGGTCCAGTAAAATGAGTAATTCAAATTAATGAATCAGTATCTTGATGCAAGCTCAGTTGAGCATCATGAAAATCTGGCTCAGTGTCTGTGCCCAGGGATGCCCCACTCCTTACCTAAGACTCACACTGGCTCCAAAAAAGACTCGCCAGGTCTCATGTTCCCTGTATCTTCCCTCTACCAAACCGGGGCAGCCCCGGCACTACGGGGACCAGGCAGTGCTGTTTCAGACACCCAAACAGCTGTTGTTCTTGCTAAGTAAAAACAAGTGACTAGTCACAGCAAAACCATGAAAGAAAACCGCAAGTGACCTAAGGATTTCTGACTCACCCTTCAACCTGGGTACTTTGTGACATTCCACCCAAAGCTCTCAGCCACCTGCAGCAGAGCTGAGAACTGCAGTCCCTTTGTCTCCCTGGCTCAGGGTAATTACCCTGCCCCCAGATGGCTTTTGCCTTCAGAACAAAATAAAGAAAAACCACCTTCCCTCCCTAAGCCCAAGTGACTAAGAAAAGCTGGCAGGGACCCTCCCTCAGACCATAATTGTGGGAACCTCTTGCAAAACAATTTTCATTGCCAGATAAACTATGTCTTTTCCCAGCAGGCAAGTGCCACACCTCAGAGACGGGGTGAGAGATTTCCTTTGAGATACCGCTGAGAAGATATGAAGAGCTGGGCCTCTTCTGCCCACTAGGGAGAGCTGTGCAGAATCGAATCCTGAGAGAGGCTCCAATAACAGCCTCGGTGTGTGCATGGCACCCATACAGTTCCAGCCAGCATCGTTCTGAAGCTCAGGCCTGAAATCAGCAGCTTCCTGCTGGCACAGGGCTCACATCTATTGCCAGTCAAGACCCTTTATCTGCAGGATAGGCAACTGTGACAAGCCCAACTATCCAAGATAATACAGGAGCCAGGTGGGCACCATCTTCACCTTGGAAACAATACCATAGCTCAAGTCTTTTGGGTCACACCTGATAGAACTGGGACCAGACCTTGAGCCAAATGTAGTTTCTATAGATTGGGTTGCATGGTTAGCTGCTGCCCAACACTACCCAATGTGGGTGGTGGGTGAGGAACTAGGAACCCTGACTCTGTCAGAATTTCCTTCACAGCAGCGACAGGAAAAAACACACTAAGCTTTCTGCCTTCAAGGGCCTTCCATCGCCTGAGCAGCTAGATTCCACAGCTCAGCTACCTACCTACAAGTGTCAGGCTGCCAACAGAATGGCTCTGTTCTCAAAATACCAACCAATGGGTACAATGTTAAATGCCTCAATGCCAGAGCAGCAGTTAGCTACACAGAAAAGAAACATAGGCAGGGGGATGAAGGACTGGCTAGACAGCAGAGTGGGAGGGAAGGTGTTCTGAGCTCCATGGGGAAGAGCAGCCTGCTCCTTGATCAGTGACTGCACACCATCTCAAGGCATCAGGAAGCATCACTGGTCAAGAACAGTATCTCCATGGAGGTCTCCATCACAGACCGAAATCCTCCATCGGAGTCACACTTATGTTCTCTCAGTACCTGATCACACCACCTTAGGTGAGATCAGTCCATTAGATCAACCCATTTTTTAAAATCATTTATCTCTGCATGTAGCGGTGTTTTGGCCTGCACGCATGACTGTGTCCCACATGCACGCAGTGTCCTCAAAAACCACAAGAGGGCATACGATCCCCCTGGGACTGGAGTTAAAGACAGTTGTGAGCTGCCATGTGGGTGCTGGGACCTGAACTCGGGTCCTCTGTAAGAGCAGCCAGTGCTCTTAACCACCGAGTCGTCTCTCTAGCACCTCTAAGCCTACTTTGTAGATGAGGAGCTGAATATAGTTGATCTCACAAAGCTCCAGTTCAACCCTATAAGGAAGGCATCGGACACCACTGACATCCCTTTGCTCTGCTGAGCCTCCTACCAGCCTGTAACGGAGCAAGTTGCTTCTCTTTCTTGAAGAAGCTGGTGCCACAGATGTCTGGAGAGGCTGATGTTTTGCCCTCCACCTGAGGGTGTCCTGGGCTCAGGCATCTCAGGAGAAGGGCCCTCAGAGGATCTTATTGGGGATCCCTGCAGATTATCTCCTCACAGTCTCCTTGGGCATTTCATTTAGGTATCACGAGCTCTGGCCTGGTGTATCCTGGTTGCAAACATCATGTGTTCAGTTAAAATGTTTTATGTCAGTAAGTCCTTTTAAGAATTCTTTAAGCTAAGTAAACTTGAAATTTGAGAATTGCAGCATCCTGAAACACTCCAAATCATCCTTGTGATTCTGAACTCAGCGGTTAGCAGAGGTTGGGGGGAGTCTGAACCTGCAGGAAAGAGAAAAATCACTTCAAGAAGCCAACACTTCTTGTCTAGACACCCTTAGGATAGCCCTCCTCAGAGTCTGTGTACTGAGAATTATGTGCAAAGTGACAATTTTGACATTTCTCAGAGGAAGCATCCAGCCTGGGCCTGGGGGTACCTAAGGATCTGCTAGCTATAGACACTACACAGAGACAAGTCAGAAGCGACAGTGGCCGGTGTCCAGGGAGCAGCTCTGCATGTCTCCTAGACACCACTACTGACCACATTTGAGTGATTTATTTCCATGACTTTTACCTAATGCATTACACCTTTGCAAACTGGATATCCTAATGGTGAAAATAGTAAAGACTTGAATAAAAATGTTAAGAAGCCAAGAAGGAGTATGGAATGTTCTAGAAAGAGCTCCTTCCCAGGCATTGTATTATTATTATTATTATTATTATTATTATTATTATTATTATTATTATTTCCACAATCTAAGTCCTGAACATTCATTCATTGCCTTCCTCCTTTTCTGGCTTGGAGCTCCTTGGAGAACAAGCCCAGTCTTGACCTCTCTCCTATCATCAGGGATCAGGGGATGTCGAAGGGGAGGGGCTCTCCTCACCTCTACCGCCCCCAGCTGAGGCTGCTTTCTGTCTCTGGAAGAAACATTTTGCAGAGCAATTTGGCAGTGAGTTAGGAGCCTCAAAACAGTTCACGTCCTGCCACCTGGCAACAGCCTGCTCTGGAAAACCGCTGGAAGGAGTAAGTCAGAAACTTGGACTGTCTTCCAAAGAGGGCTCAGTGAAGCTTTATATATAGCTGTTAAAGCTGGCAACAGTGTGTCTGCCTGTCTCACCTTATGGGAATGGTTAAGTAATTACGGTGCTTCCAGAAGGTGGGATATGCCTCACAGTTTCAAGATGGCACCTCCAAGGCTATTTAACGATGTGGAAACATAGGATAGTTTCCATGGTGTTAAGTGGGAATCTGTAACACAAAATCAAATACACAGAACAATAAAAGTACCTATATGTGAACATATACAGAGAACTGGACAGGAATATAAACTGTCAAAGGGAATTGCTCTGGGTGGTAAGATTACAGCTCATTTTTTATGCTGTCCTTTGTTACTTTCTATACACTGCCTTTATAGGTTTTTAAGTGACTGAAGAGAAATTTCTACCAAGAGAAAAAAAAAAAAACCCTAGCTAGTGATTGCAGGCTGAGATTAATAGCTTTTCTGTGTGGAACATCAGTTTAAAATTGCAGTGAGAATCCCAAGCCCCTGGCCTGGCCTGACAGCTTTGCCTTGTGGAATCAAACTTGGTGTCAAGTTCCCAAGAGCACAGTAGAGCAAGAGATGAGGGTGAACCTGGAAGGTCTTCAGTAATTAATAGTCAACCTAAGCAGTGTCCCAGCACCCCTGACTTAGACTACCCAGCTGCTTTTCTTTTTAAAAAAACATCGCAAGAGTTCTATAACTACTGTGTTTACACTGGGAGATTGTTTTTCATAAAACGCCAGGTATCTGCACAGGGCAGAAGGTGGGCATTCGCCCCAGCGTTGGCGGTGAGGAAGGCAATGGCTTCCACCTCATGAGACAGCTCTGCTTAGCTAGAGTGCTGTAGCTTCTGGAGGACAGCCCGTGCTGCCAGGTGTATCCCTGGTGGTCACAGCGAGCACATGTAGGTGTGGCTGTCTTGGAATTGAAGACCTGTCTTCCTGCTGCATTAGACTCTCCTTCCTGCTTTCCCCACCAGGCCTTCATGTTTAGATAACATGGCGTGCCTCACCAATACAGTCGAAGAAGCTGGCTTCCACACACCAGCAACTGGAACACAACCCACTGTTCTTCCTTTAAAAGGGGAAGCCAAACCTGGGGTGGTGACACACACCTATAATCCCGCTGCTTGGGAGGCAGAGACAACAGGATCCCAAAGTTCTGGGCCAGCTTGGGCTACATAACAAGATTCTATCTCAAAAAAAAAAAAAAAAGAGGGAGGAGGGAGAATGAAAGAGAAAGAGGGAAAGAAAAAAGAGGAATGGAGGAGGAAATAGAAAGAGGGAGCCAGTAAAACACAAAGGAGAGGAGAAGGAAGGGAGAGGGGGAGAGAGCAGGGGAGACTTACCTGATGTGACACACTTGAAGTCACAAGCTGCCTCTTCTCTTGTGCCCAGGTGGCCCAGCCCAGCCATGATCTTTCTGGGTGAGACTTCAACAGCAATAAAAACCCAACATTAGGAAGGTACACTGTGTAACAGACAGCAGTGTGTGTGTGTCTCTGCGCACGTAGCAGTCCCATGCTGCCTGGACTCATGCCGAAGCTCACCCTAGCCATGATTTATGTGATGGCTTGATCTGCCATGGAGCTGACAGAACAAGACTCTGATCCAAACCATGCACTTAGAAACCCACTGCAAACTCAGCGGCCATCCCACTGGGGATGCCGATGAGCGGCCTCCCACTGGGATTCAAGACCAACGGTGAACCCTGGACGACAGTGTTTTATTTAAGTCCCTCACAGGATGCCTGGCTAATGTAACGTTGTTTTTTTAAAGCCTATCTGGGTATAGTTAACGTATCACACAGCCTCTCCTTTCCCCAATCTCTGTTCTCTCCACAGCAAACAGAGGGGGCGGTGTTGATTCCTTGCATAGCAGAAAACTTCCAAGCTTCTTGCAGCTCCCATGGCAGACAGGCCTCAGACGCCAGACAGCTTCATAGTAAGATGAAGAGCCTGAGCAGAAGAGGGGGGATCAGAGGCTTGCTGAGCCAAGCCAAGGATGCAGCAGTAGGAGGAGAGATGGGGCCATGAAGTGCCTACCACCCAAGAAGCTCAGGTTCGATGTCTGCCTGAGACTTCTCCACTGGCCAAGCAAGACTGAGCAAGGGGAGAGAAGGCTGCCTGGAGAAAGCCAGTCAGCAGCGTTCCCTGTGTGTGTGGTGGAAGTGTTGTCTGCATGCACCAGGAGATAACAGGAAG